GTGATTTTTATTTCCTTCTGGTTACCTTGGGTTTAGTTTGTTCTTATTCTCATTTAAGAATAAGGTTACTCTAGGTTATTGATTTGAGATCTATCTTATTTTTTAATGTAAGCATCTATAGCTGTACATTTCCTCCCTTACTTTGCTTTTGCTGCATCCCATAAGTTTTGATGTGTTGTGTTTTTATTTTTATTCATCTCAAGTATTTTCCAATTTCCCTTGCAACTTCTTTTTTGATCTTTTGGTTGCTTAAGAGAGAGTTGTTTAATTTTCGCAGGTTTGTGAATTTTCCAGGTTTACTTCTGGTGATTTTAACTTCATTCCATTGTGGTCAGAAAATAATTTAAATAATATCTATCTTTTTAAATCTTTCAGGAGTTATTTGGCCTAACATATGGTCTCTCATGGAAAATGTCCCATGTGGGGTTAAGAAGAATGTGTTTGCTATTATTTTTGGGTAGAGTATTCTGTATATATCTCTTGGATCCAGTTGGTATATTAAGTCCTCTTTTTCCTTATCTTCTGTATGGCTATTCTATTCATTATTGAGATTGGGATAGTAAAGTCTTAACTATTAATGTAGAACTGTTTATCCTTTTAATTCTGTCAGTATTTTGCTTCATTTGTTTTAATGGTCTTTTATTAGCTGTGTAAATATTTATAATTGTTGTATCTTAGCTGTATTAAACCTTTTATTAGTATTTAATGTCCTTCGTCTCTTGTAAAACTTTTTGATTTAAAGTCAGTTTCATCTGATATTAGTATAGCCACCCAGCTCTCTTTTGGTTACTAGTTCCATAGAGTAGCTTTGTATGTCTTTTCACTTTCAATCTATTTGTATCTTTGGATCTAAAGTGAGTTTCTTACATGTATCATGTAGTTAGATGACTTTCAATCAACTTTTTCGTCTGCAGAATTATATTAGCTTCATAGTCACAGATACTGATTCTTTCTCCTTCCTGATTCCACAACATTTAAATAAAATTTCATTTGTTCACATGTGTCAATACCTCTAAAACCTCTAAAAATTTGAACAGAGCTTAATGGGAACTTTGGATTGTCATAATTAAATGAGTACACTCAGTTCATAATTTCATATTTGTTTTCTTGCCAGTTTCAATATAAAAACTTCCATAGTATGGTTGATATGCTTACCAGACTGTAATTATGCTTTTATAAAAAAGAAGAAAAGCCTTTTCTAGCTTTAATGAACTTTTTTTATTCTTCCGCAATTTGACTTATAAATTCTAGTTAATAAAACTTCGCTCCTGACTTGTTGTTAAATTCAGTCTTAATGAATTAGTTTGAATTAACAGTGATTTAAAATAGAAATGGTTTTATTTCAGTATATTTTCTGTTATGGAAATACTGAAACTTTTAACCTCAAAACCCACGTTATTTCTATAAGACCCTGCTGCTTGAGATTATATTACAAAGCTATTTAAAAGTTTGCTTTAAGTTTTATTTATATTCTGAGTAACCTCAAACTGGGCCTTTAATATAACTATAAAAGAGTAAGAGTGTTTTATTTCAACTTTTTAATAAGACTCGTGGATT